GCCTCATCTACTCGTCTTTTAAATACCTCCAGGGATGGGGACTCAACCACTTCCCTGGGCAGCCTGTTCCAATGTTTCACCACTCTTTCAGTAAAGACATTTTTCCTCACGTCCAATCTAAACCTCCCCTGGCACAACTTGAGGCCATTTCCTCTCGTCCTATCGCTTGTTACTTGGGAGAAAGTAACTTGTTCAGAAATATGCTAACTCCGGTGTATGTCACCATTCCCCTCATATTCACAGTGCGTTTACCATTGCAGCTGATAAAAAGACCACAGACTGACACATATACCATAATTATGGACACAAACAAAGGTGTAGTAGAAGTAGGCTTTATGAAAGTATTTAAATTTTGTGGCAAATCTCTGCATCAACATGGGCAGGGAGGCAACTAAATGCTTTGCAGTAGCAATTTCAGTTACCAAACTATTTCTTGGATAGATATTTATTACAGGTAGTTTATCTGTTCCTATTTCTCAAAGAGTTTAAGGCACAAAAGCCTGAAAAGGGCTTATAACATGTACATAAGTGCTATTATTTTCGCTTTCACCTCTAACGCAACATAATATTAGCTTAAATATATTGCTTGTCCATCCAGCTTATACAACATCCAGTAGAAAACTGCTTTCCAGGTTAGCAACAATTTGTTGCACAATATATCAATTAGATTGCTCTGACCCGTTTTTGCTGCAAGATCTTCAGTTTCACCATATTCACTCTGACAGGACAGTGGAAGACGCTATGAAATCTTAACATCTTAATGAGACCATCAAGGCGTGTCCACAATGAAAAAAGGCATGATACACAAAATAACATTTAAACAAGGTTGCTGGTAAAAGTGTTTTAAACTGCTTGACTGATGGGGAATTATTTCCTCATACACAGGTGGAGAAGCCAGCCAAACGTGCGAGAGATCACCAGGTAGAAGGCATCGGTCTGTAGTAGTTTTATAACGCTCCTTTCTGTCTTTACTCTCCAAAATGCTCTTCAGGCAGATTGCTTAAGAACACCAAGCTATAAACTTGCTAGCTCAAGATCACAGCTTCGGTTAAGCAGAACATAAGCTTTCATCTACATGGTTCTTTCCCGTGCTCAAGTTACAGCAACCTTACCCAGTCACTAGAAAGCTTTTGAGACATTTTAGTGGTATCCAACAATGATTTTTTAAAATAGCGCGTTCATGAGAGTTGGATCAAATGACTGAAGACAGTTAAATGGGCAGCAAAACAGAAAGATGGGCAGGAACCAAAATGCAAAGGGTAATTTTACTTAAAAGACCAACTTTTTTATTGTACGTTGGAGTAGAGTCTTTCCCCTGTGCCATCTCGTTGAAAGTTTATAAATTACAATTCCCAAGAAGTATTAAGAGTTCATTTCAAGACAAAAGGAATAAAACTGTTGCAGTTCTAACTTTCACCATGAATAAAAGTTACCATGATGCTCCTACGACACTCATTCTGTACAGGAAAGGCCACAGTCCTCCTGCACTTCGAGTAACAGACCTGGGTGGAGAAAGGGCCACCCCTCACTACTGCAGGATCCAGGTGCAGCATAACAGTCCGGAGCGCACTGGCGGGCTTGTCACACAGACACAGTGCCTCAGCAACGAGGCTATAACACGGCTGGAATCTCTGACGAGACAGTGTCCAAAGGCTGCCAATGACAGTCCATCAAGGCATCGTAGAGCTCTTCGCTCTGTTCCATAAACTGTTTATTTGCTTCATGGACGTCCAACTGAGGCGTCGGATCTAAAGGAGGAAAGACAGACAAATAGGTCACACGCCAAATGCGTTAGGAAAAACCCACACCCCGTAAACATGTTAGTTTTATTAAAACAAATGTGGGGGGAGTCACAAAACATTCCCAGCACTTGCCCAATCACGAACCTGACTAGATTAGCCCTGGTAAATCTTTCTGCAATGGGATAAGAAATAACTACATCCAAGTATGTCCCTCTTTCCAGTGGTGATTGCCCCCATAGCAGAGTCAACAGAGAGAACGCATACCTGCACCTCGCAGCCCAGTGTAGCCACTTAAACTGCCAAAGAAGGTGGGTTGGCACTAAGGCACCGGACTGCAAAGTGGAGGAGCGGAGGCGCAGGCACACGTTCCGTTCTGCTCCCTCCACTACAGGGTCAGAGTGGATGGCTGGGGACGGTAGCCTCTTACGCTGCTGCAACAAGAGTCACCAGAGCTCGTCTGCCAAAGCCTCGAACATCTCAAAGCATTTCACAGTTAGTAACCAAAGAAGTGCCAGCGACACCCAGTGAATTACGCATGAATATGTCCCCTATTTTACAGTTGGAAGAAATGTTTGTAAAGCATTCTGGAGCCAGATAGCAACCCAGTGGGCACAATTCTGCTGCTACCAACGCACACTTAACATTTCACAAAAATCGACTCATCGTATTCCCCAAAGCGCTTGTAGGATGTAAAGCTCACCTAACACCACCCACGATCTAAAGCTCAGGTTATCAGACTAGCACAATCACACAGGTTAGTAAGCAACTATCAGAGTGCAAAGCAACTAGCCGACCGAATGGAAAAACTACCAAACACATCAGGAATAAAATGCTTGTAAACATGTTCGGTTTTAGCTACCTCATGTTGTAACAGATCACAGGAGAAGAGAATTAAGAAAAGGGAATGATGCACCGGCAATACATTATTTCAGTTTCCTACAAATTTCAACGTATTAATTTAATCAATGAGAAAAAGACACCCCAGAGATATTCTAACTATAGTACTGGTGTGTTAGTTTCAGAGAAAGGAAAGCTCTCCGGTAATGCTTTTAAAAGCCATTAAGGGCTTTCTCATTGACATCATTACTGATACCTATGGATCCTGTAATGGATCCAGCTGCTTTCTACTGTGGATCCAGCTGCTTTCTACTGTCAGCGTGTGATTTTTAGATTTTTTTTAAAGAGAAGAATAAGATACACTACATAGTGCACATTCCACTCGGGAGAGAAATTTGGAACTGCTAGTATGAAATGATTGTTTTCTTGCATCAATAAATTAAAACTGCTTGTATGTTTATCTAAAACCCCAACATGGTTTAACGGCCCATTTCCAGCAATGACTGCTAAAGCAAATATTTTATCAGTGTGCTAACTGGTATTATTTCTTTTTTAAACGAAGAGCACAGTGAAGTATCCTGGGCTCTAAATTCCAAGATTTTACAGAAAAACAGAATATCTACATTGTTTTTGTAGCATACCAGAAAAAATACTGAAAAAAAGGATAAAAGTTTGACTACTATAGAAGATTAAAATCTCAATGCTAGTGAAGTCAATTAGTTTCAGTCCTGACAAAGTTCCGACTAGGAACAGCGTCTGTAAAATAAGGATGCAATTGCGCTAGGTGATAGTGACCCACAAATTTTCTCAGACCTCAGATTTACTCAAAGATAAAGCTATATTATACATTGAAACTAAGGGCCAATTTGAGAAAGACTACCTCTAATCAGTGCAGAACAAACAGACAACTTCAATATCGAATTCAAGAAACGTACCTTCCAATGCATCCTCACCAACTTCTTCATATGTCTGTGAGGAAAAAAAAACCACCTTAGGACAGCAGATATTTATCTTTTATGAACATCATCTGTTGATTACTGCTGTCATATACTGACTTTTATATCTGACTGATTACAACAGAATTCCTCACACATAAGCCCCGTGTTCCACTCCCGACAGACTCCACGGGGGAGATCCCACACTAAACTTCTAACAGAGGCAGCAGTTCTTGAAATCCCTGTGGTGCAGCGGGTGGCTGTCCTGATCTGTTTTATCCTCTAAAACAAGGCTTATGAAGGATCCCAGAAGGCAGTCTTAGCACTGTCTGTCCAACCGCCCGTATCAAGAGAACCCTTCTACCGTGACAACTGTATTAAGAGACGCCCTTATGCCCCCCCCCCGCCTTTTTACCCCTCCAGTCCCAGCAATATCCCCCAAACAAGGCAACAGTACACACCAGGGTCTGCTAAACAGTTTTGCTTCCTCGTCAAGTAGCTATATTAAGGCCCCGGAGTTAAATATAAAATGGGCCCATCACCGTTTTGTAACCTACGTCGTGTTTCTGTGCTGACCGATCACTGAAGAGCGAGTACGTCGCGCTGCCCTACCTGCATCGTGCTCTGCGTGTATCCATACTGGGGATAGCTGTAGCTGTAACTGCCCGTGTTCTGGTCGTAGCCCCACTGGGCATAGTAGTTGTGATATTGTTGGTAATATTGGTTATAATTATAGTTGTACATCTGATTGTACTCCATTGGTTTCACACGATTACTTAAAAAAATAAAGCAGGAATAAGTTGCAAATAATGCAGAACAATTATGAAAAGAAGCAGTGAAATAGCTTAAGATACAATATGGTACATAGACAAGGCTTAGTCTAACATGCAAATTTCAGTCTTATATATTCGCTATTTACTGCAGCAGTATTGATCATTTGCATACATTTGCAGAAAGAAAGAAGTGGTTTAAATTTAATGCCCTTTCCTGTATTCATATTCATCTTCATTAATAAACATTGCTTTCATTCTTTATGAGTAATTTGGTATCACTTCCTGGCTTTGGGAAGGGAAGAGTTCAGGACTATGAGCCTCAGTTTAGAACAATCCTGAACCACGATCCAGATTCTTGGGTCCCTTTTTCCTTCTGATAAATGGGATGAAGTTAAGTACTCTGCAGCTTCCTGAGACAAGGTACTGAGTCTTGCTTTACATGAAGAGTTAAAGACTTAGAGCCTTGCAAAAGAACTGGAGTTTTCTTTAGTAAGAATGGACAAAAACCTCTCCCTTCTGCCACTATCGTACAGAAGCCTAACCAACGACTGGTTGTCGCCATTCCCACTGAACTGGGTGGTCTTCAATGCACACAGTTGGAAGAGCTCATGAAGTAAAAAGGACTACGAGCAATTGAAAAAATAAATAGCCTGTGAGCTGACTAAAATTCCCATTCCTTGCCATAAAGTGGCAGCATTCCCAAGGAACTGGGAATCTCACCTGATTATCAAGATTTGAAATAATGAGATGACAAATATTGTTTGGAAATGAAAATGTCACACATAAAGCTATGTCTAATGATGAAATTAGTGAGAAGTAGGAAGAGGGAAACATCAATCTTCTCACCACGATACACCCTCTTTTTCTGCTTTTCTCTTCCTTATCCCCCCAAGACTTCTGAGGTCACTGAAAATCTAAATATTATTCAAATAGGGAGCAATTACTATTATTTGTATTACCCTAGTGCTACGAGCCCCAAGTCAGACCAGGATCTCATTGTATCAGGTTCTGAACAAACACAGAAAAAAAAGTTAATCCCTGCCCCAAAAGACTTATATTTAGTAGACATTATAATAGAATTAGCAAGGTAATTGAGCTTTGCTATCCAGAAATCAATAAGCAGATTTAGACTATTTCAATTTAATGCAAAGGAACAGATACTTTAAAAATAATCATATTTAAATACAGTGTGTGTACATGTGTGTGTATTTAATAACGTATACAAATAAAAACAGTGTAAAATGCTTAGTCTTGATCTAATGTTATAATTTTTTTGAATTCCTGTGCATTCTGATACTCTAGCTGCTTTACTATATTCGTGGGTATTCCTTCACTTTGTGATGGAAACATCCAGGAACTGTACCCAAGCCACTAAGAGACATTTAAAAATACATGTGATTTCACATCACGGTGCTCTTGTATAAACATCTGGCTGCTCTTATACTCACGCTTTTGGTATAGCCACACTCAAGCGTACAGGTTTAGAGCCCAACCCCACAGCTCCTTGACACTCTGTCAGCGCTCTTTTCTGTTCCAGTTCATCCGTGAATTTCACGAACCCGTAACCTCTGCAGAGATACAGAATAACTCATAAAAAACAAAAAAAGCCACTTTTTTAAATATTTACAGTGAAGTCAAAATTAGTTTTGAAAAACACAGCAAATGAAACACACTCACTAGGCCTGTCCCTGCTTTTACTAGAGATTAAGTGATTCCGTCTTCCAGTTGCTTTGTATTATTTGCAAAATGCTTGAAACTGTACGTCCAAGCTTTGGCAGTACTTGCAAGGGCTTCACAAAAGTAATGTAAGTCTTGTGCCAGTGGATTCTGGGGAATTGGAAGTGAGCTGACGCAAGACACGGCGAAATGCATGAACAGACAGCAGCAAAGCCTCAAATCTATACCGGGAGGATACAGATAATCTAAACACTTGCAAGTCAGCACAGGATTGACAAGACATAGGCACTGTTTTTTTTTAATATTTACAGTGAAGTCAAAATTAGTTTTGAAAAACACAGCAAATGAAACACACTCACTAGGCCTGTCCCTGCTTTTACTAGAGATTAAGTGATTCCGTCTTCCAGTTGCTTTGTATTATTTGCAAAATGCTTGAAACTGTACGTCCAAGCTTTGGCAGTACTTGCAAGGGCTTCACAAAAGTAATGTAAGTCTTGTGCCAGTGGATTCTGGGGAATTGGAAGTGAGCTGACGCAAGACACGGCGAAATGCATGAACAGACAGCAGCAAAGCCTCAAATCTATACCGGGAGGATACAGATAATCTAAACACTTGCAAGTCAGCACAGGATTGACAAGACATAGGCACTGTTTATATCTAAAACTGCCCCACTGTGAAGGAAAACTTTGCTTTTCTGTAGGATCGACTGAGATACACTTTCCAATCAAGTCCTTTTTTCAACAGGAAAACATTCAAATTGGCTTTCTGTCATCCCTAACAACGGCACGGCCCCGTCAGCATTCTCAACAGTGGACCTGAAAACGAGCTCTTAACGTCAAGTTGCTAAAACCTGCTCTGACAGCACAACTTGAAGAGGGATAGCACACAGCCAGCAAACCCTGGACTCCGTGGCAATCCTTCACTGTGGTGCTAGCTACTAGTGGCTGTACCTCAGCCAGCCAGAAGATATTAATTCCCCTCCAACCCCAAAGGTCCTTTGTGTGGGATTCTGATGCTGTAGTGAGTCAGAAGCAATGCAACAGCATCCAAGAGGGCAGTGCCAGGATCCCAAGACAGAATGGGCTGCCTCACGCAGCAGAAAGATCAAAGACTTAGGTGTGGGAGGGCAAAGGAAGGAGTTTGGGAGGGAAAGGGCTTGTCTACCTGGAGAAAAGAACGAGCCATAAGCAAGGGTGTAAATTTACAGCATATTATCTATTCTGTGGGAACTCTTAAACACCAAGTAACACACTATGTTGAAGGCGGCATCACCTAGTACTCGTAGCAGGTCCACACTGGAAGCTATTACAGAGCAGTTGGTGCCTCATAAAATGCAATATCTTGCCTAGCAAGCTATACACACAAGTCCAAATATGTATTTTTATACATATATGCATGTATGTACATGTACTTCTCACATACAGAAGACCAAATCAAAGCTCAGGCTTATCCATATACAAACCGGATAATTAAGCAAGAGCAAAACTCTACACGGGTACACATTCTGTTTAACTTGCCCTCCGCAAAAGGACTGTGGCAAATTAAACCAGTGCAAGTCAACTCTTAAGTCAGTTTAAGTCAGTTTTAGGTGTTTGCACACAAAAGTGTGTAAGTTTCTAAGGTGCTACAAAGAGTCCTGCAGCCTTTCGGATGGGACCAGGAGTGCGTAAGTGAAACCGGGAATACTGGCAGTTCCAAAATGGAGATGGACAGATAAAGAGTTGGATGTAGTGTATAGGAATAGATGTGAGGTGCAGCGAGGGAGACAGTGATTCTTCCAACTTTTCCAGACACTTAGTTTTTTCACACCGATGGCTAAACCAGATTTTAGTACAGAAGAAAACCCACCAAGAACTAATTTCTTCATGGCCAGGACCACCCTGGCAGACATTCTGTCCTGTCCCAGCAGTTAGGACAAGCCCCCCAGCCTGCACCCTCAGCAGAAAGCAAAGAAGCAGGCACAGCACTATGGCGTCAGGCTCCAAGCTCCTCTCCTGCCTGGACAAGAGGTGCTGGGAGGAGGCCTTCCTGATCTACCAGGATCAGGATCTTTCACTGGGCACGTCCACAAGCCTCAGGTTCCTCTCTCGCATCACACTAACACCTGCAGTTGCCGCAGTTTTGAGTAACTGCACAAGTCACAACAAAGCCCCTGGCAGCAACGCCCCGGCACTGCTAGGGGAGATAGCTGTGCTCTGCCCAGCAATAGGCCTTTAAGTCCCTGCTCTTCCCCGCTTCCCAAGCTACCACAGGTCCCCTTTCCCTGAGGTCTGCACTTAAGAACAGTTCGCAAAGCCCAACCAATGGCCCAGCCTGCATCACCCAACACCTATTTTGTAGGCAGAGATTGAAGCAGGTGCAGCAAAACAAGAACTGCTGGGTTTACACCTCTGAGGAGGAGGAGGCACCCGGAGCCCACCCCGGCAGTGTCGGTAACAGCAGGAGTACTTAACAGCCAGAGAGTGACTGAGCAGCTCTGCAAGAGGTTCGGGTTGCACATTGAGAAGAACTTCATTACTGGGGAGGTAGTGCAGCACTGGAACAGGCTGTCCACACAGATTGTGTTATCTCCGTCCTGGGAGGATTTCCAGGCTACAAAATTCATGGCTGACCTGGTCTAGCGTAGGCAGCAGTCCTGCTCAGAGTGGGAACTTGGACAAGAGACCTCCAGAGGTTCCTTCAAACCAACACGTCTAAGACCTTATGTGAGAAAGAGGGGAGATCTACAGCCGTATTCTAGGCCTTGTCACAACATTCTCGTATTATTATACCAGAATATTGTGTTTCATTGAAGCCTGTTCATTTCCGTTTTGAAAACAAGGATGCTGACCAACTGGTCCCTTTTCTAGAAAAATGCAGTTTCCTTTTCTGCTATTTAGAAAACATTTTAATAACATTAAGAAAACCGACTTTTTGACATGTTTTTGGCGAGACGTTTCCAGTGAAGATGAACAAGGCAGCTACTAAGTACTTGACAATGAATCATAGCTTTGTTTGCCCTACCCTATTTGAAACAAAAACCTGTAAAGCTTTCACAGGAATATACACTCAGTAGCCTAAAGACTCTAAAAGCACAATTCCATCTGAAAGTCCAGGCAGACAGTGTTTCAAGATTACTTAGACATTTTTCAGCATTTTCAGAAGTGCAGTAACATACTGCCAACACACAAAGGGCATAATACTGACAGAGGAGTGACAATACGCTGTGGTGACTACCAAAACCCAAGCATACTGTAGACTGAATATCCAAGAACATTGTCTTTTTAGATAACTAAAATCTAAGCTGATAGAATATTCTGTTTCCCTTGCTGCATTGTATCTTTCCTATTGCTGCATGTGAAGTGAAAGAAAAAGAATGAATAAAAGATTACTTACTTGGATACTCCTGCCTGGTCCAAAACAACTTTTCCACCTCTACACGATGGATAAACTTTAACAAAAAATTCATATAACATGCCATCATCCACATCAGGAGTCAGGTCTCCCACAAAAAGTGAATATTCTGGACTAAAGAAATCAAAAGAAAACTTTTTAAGTACAATCACACAAAAAAAGAGGCATGCTGAGTGACAGCTAACATTTAGCCTGAACATTTGACTTCAGAAAAAAGTGATATTAAAGGACCATTTAACGGACACTTTAAAATGTCGCCAGTTAAGCTGCTTAGGTGACTAAAATTTTTATTGACACTGCTTTTCAAGTTAATTCAGGCAGCACAACTAATCTACTCAATACTGCTTTCTATTTAAAGAGAATTTCATTTTTTAGTTCTCACAGGATATCTCTGGATTTCGAATATGGCAAGAAAACATTAATGTTTCATTTATAGATTTGCTACTTCAAATATATAGATCTTAAATTATAATATATGAATTAAGATACTTTGATGCCAGAAAGTTTAAATATCTTAAAATACATTCCTGACAAATCTGCTGTGCCACACAAAAGGTAAAGCATAAAACTGACAGGCAGTCTAAGTTATCCTCCCTCTGCTAAAGACTCACGGGGCAAGCTGCTGGAATCAGAAAGGCTGTGTTACCCATCTGTATTTCCAGAGCAAATGGAACCATAAGAATTAGTTAACAAATGTAAATCTCATTCTCGCCCCCATCTGTCATGCCTCAATTCTAATCTAGAGTTGTGGTTTTTTTTAAAAAGAGATTCATAATCATCAAAAATAAAAATATAACTGCCGAGATATGACTAACACTACCCTAATAAACTGCAGGACTGTGCTGCTTTCACCCTCGTACACACCTGCCTGAACACCTCCTTGTGTTATTATTACTTCAACGGTGTAAGCAGTTCTGGGCAGGCGTTATGAGAGGTACTCACACCACCCAACTTCAGGAGCCTAATTTAGCTTGTTTGTCTCCTTACGCACCTTTCACTGTCAATGGAGAAAGAAGGGCTCCTCCAGAGGGCAATTCAGAGCACCCTTCTCTCTCTTTGCTGACTGTTGTGGTACTTTAGCCAGTTAAGCCGGGTGGTGTGAAACCACTGCATTTATCTTTAGGTGCTAACCACATTCATGGCATTATATAGTATTACGATGGGATGCATCCTCAGATACACAGAAAGCGCTAACATGCTACAGCATCACAAATATCTGCAGCGTGTGCCAAGGCAGTTTAACGTCATCTACATTTTTAATTATGGGATTTAGCTGTCTGGCACTGCTAGACAAAATGGTACAATTTTTAGTTGTATGCATCTCATGAATGCTCCCCTACCCAAATTTGCTAGCTGTACATCTCAACCAGCAATGATGAACTTGTGGGTTTACGTATTTTGAATCCTCTTTGCAAGGCAATTGATAAAAAGACATTAAGCAGGCAAAACTAATATTTGAATATTGAGCTTTTACCTGTTATCGGGCTGTTTTCCATACGTTGCATAATTCAATTTAAATCGCTTTGCCTGAAACAAGGCAAAAATGAATCCATACATTCAAATTTTCTCATGTGAATCCAAACAATTAGGAAAAAGTACAATAAGCTTATTTCACATAACTTTCTTAATGCTGACAGATGTTCAACGCCGTCAGGCCAGCCAGTTAATGTATCAAGGACAACGTTTTTATTTGACTTCAGTACAGCTATAATAATGAGAATCAGCAAAGAACCTGCACCAAGAGGTTTGGCCTATCTTTATTTCAGCGGTTTATAAAGCTAGTGAAAGAGAGGTGACCCTTACATAGCATCAAATTTTTGTATCTTTAAGGAAGACAGGAAAACAGAGGTACTAACAACAAATATTAAATGACTTCTAATTTTAAGGTCTTAAAATGAAATGACAGCACAGACTGTTGGACATTTGTGATTTACAAGAATACTGGCAGACCAGAATCCGCCACCTCAGAAGATGGAATCAATCCCTGAGCCTGGAAGTATGGCTAAATACTTTGCTCTGGATGATGTGTTCATTCAGTAAGATCCAAAACTAAGGTTTTTCCGAAAGCCTTACCTGTCATTGGACACTGGAGGCCCCCCTAAACTTTGCACCTGATTTTCTTTTTAAACAAGTTTCCCAGGAGGCTAGATTCGTGCCCACTGGCACATCCGGAACTCCCCGCCCCCATCCTACCAGGGTGCAGCAACTTGCACCCAACTCACATTTACGTCTAGACCAAGATCTCAGGAGCAGCTGGTCTTCTGCCTCAAAATCCCGGGGGTCTCAATCCCATGGGCATTCTTATATGATGCTCAGCACACAATGACCCAAGCAGGCTCACTGCAGAGTGCAATGGTAATTGCTATTTTCTTCTGAAACATGTCTGACAGAGGGAGAAGCAAAGGATTGCACTCCTTTACAAGAATACTGGTGTCAGAACTCACCCAGACAGTGGAAGACCTAAGCTGGATTCCCTCGTCAGCTTGAGGGGCTTCAAAACCATTTTTCTATCTCCCACCAGGCTTCCAAAGCAGATATCCCTCTGCACTACACAGTGGCATAGCAAGAACTCAAGGGGAATTTGGCCAAAGAAAGCAAGCCTACTGTGAGTCCACAACCTAGAGATCAGGACGTTTGTTTAGTACAGTGGAGAGCCGAGTGTGCTCCTGCACCTTGTATGATGTATTTTCTTCCCTCAAAGATAGCGTAAATAAATCTTGGGAAACAGAACAAAGACTTAAGTCTAGGCTATAATCACGTTCCTTGCATGCTTACATTCACTGGTGCACACTGGTACACAACTCTTTCTGTGGACCATTTACAAGCTAACACAAAATTTAGATTCTACTCTGAAGCACTTTCACCTTTTTTTGGATTTCGCTCTTCATCACAATATTTTGGGTTTAAACTCAATGAGAGACCTGAGAGTACTTCCACTCAAGGGGATGGGGATGCTAATTCTGTAAATTAGAGATGGCAACAGCACCATGGCTCTCTGTTACTCCTTTGGCTGATTCAGTATTTAAAAATAAATAAAAGAGTGAGCCACATTCAGTTTTCCGCAAACGAGAAAAAGTATCTAAATGCAAGAGACGAGCTGGAGAGTTGCCTGCTGAGTGCACCGATTTAGGCTGCCTACATCGGATCTCTGTCTGACATCTGTAATTCTCTCCATGCGTTATGTAAATCAACCCTCTACACAACACCACATTTTGAATTAAACTGTGGACAAAGGCGGGTATTCCCAAAACCAAATTTCAATTATTATATTACTCCTTGCAAGAGCCGCTCTCTTTCTCTCTCTAGTGACTGTAGAAGGCATCTAGGTAGATTAGCTTCCCTTAATCGTGGGCTCTGATTTGCAGTATAAGGGCATCTTAAACAGGACAGGTGAAACAGATACCTCCAGGCCTCTCACCTACGCCATCCTCTCAGGGAGGTTGACCAAATAGTTCAAGGAACAACACCCGAACTTCCCCGTTTCCTACTCAGGGTATTAACTACACTGAAATAGGCATCAATTTACCTTACTATATCACACTGTAAGTGAGGTGGTTCTAGAGCTGCTTTATGAACCAGTCATCCTAGCTACTGCAGCCAACTTCTGCGGGTACAACGGACAGCTGTGTCAGCTGTCCCATTTTAATCTACTACACATTCGAGTCAACATCCTAAAATTAGCCTCTATGACTATTCCTCCTCTTCTTCCTAACTACCTAGCTTTTATGTATCCGAGACATTTCTTATGCATTGCAATTATACAATGGACTAGCTCTTTCTCCACTGGAAATAGGTTTGAATAACTTCTGTTTGCTAAGGGCCAAGAATAATGCAAGGCTTAAAAGTCATGTCTCTCTTGCAAATCAAAGTTACTCAAAACTCAGTGCGAACTTGCAAGTTCACCTTGTACATATAAAACAATATACACACTGTAACAAATTAATACGGAACGACAAACAGAGAGAGGCAGAAGGACTGTGGTAGGTACACTCCATCTATTTTTTCCTTGCTCTTCTCTGGTGTCTTATTAGTCCAACGTTGGTAATAGTAGAGGCTCAGAAATACAACATTTCTGTACCTGGATTTTTTCCAGACATTCAGAGAGAAATGAGAATTTTTTCCAACAATTTTCTGAGCAAGAACATTACTAGTTTTATGTTCATTAATTGAACTCTAAAGAAAAGAAGAATCCCAGTTTGCTAACTATGAATTTGTCTGTAATCATTCAAAATACAGATTCTACATTATCTGTTCCTTCCCAGTTTTGCTTCCCAGCTGGCTGATTTCATTTACTCACCGGTGTAGCACCAGGAAGCGGTTTTCCATTGATTTTGTGTAAACATTTCTCTGCAGTAGCTAGATCTGCAAATTCTACAAAGCAATAGCCTGCTGGAATTCTGAACATAGACACAGGAGAGGAGAGAGAAAGATTTCAGATTTAAAACACATTTGAGGAGGAATATTATATTTTTAGATAACTGGTAGGAAATTTGCTATAGTTGCAATACTTTTTCAAAGAGAACAAAAAAGAACAATTTCTTTTTCAAAGTATAAACATTAGCTACCAAAAAGAAACTAGCAATCCTGGATCTCAAGTAAAGCGACAGCCCCTACTTACCAGTAAGTCACGTCAACATAAGCACATCGAAAATAGTTTTGCTCACAATTAGTTTACTTCCTACTTTCATTTGACTACATAAATTTTCCCACCCAAGTTTAAACAACTGAAAACTGAAATTACAACATTTACAAAACATGAAACTACTTTATTCTGCGTTCACTTATTTTTTATTCCAAATTAACTCAAAGGGTCCTCACATGGCGCCTTCTAAAGTCAGACTTCCCACCTCTGCCAGCATCACGTAGCTGCACTAGTGCAACGATTAACACAGACTAGTCACTGAAGCCTTCAGCCCAGAAGGTGTAACCTGCATAGTCACTTATTTTATTCCAAATTAACTCAAAGGGTCCTCACATGGCGCCTTCTAAAGTCAGACTTCCCACCTCTGCCAGCATCACGTAGCTGCACTAGTGCAACGATTAACACAGACTAGTCACTGAAGCCTTCAGCCCAGAAGGTGTAATTCCCAGAGGGTCTGTATGGCATACATATGCCGCTCTGAATGAGTGCCGAAGCACTGCAGGATGAGGGCCAAACCTTGGTTTCTTGATGGGGAGGTTGAAGGGCCAGCAATTGTCCTCTCCATTGCCATCATCAATATACCCATATTGTTGGCAGCAATGGCGAAAAGCTCAAACGGAAAATCACTGTAATACGGACAGGAGCACAGCGATGCCATGCAGAGGGCAAATGGTTCAATCCAAATGCACTGGTAGAACAAACTGAGAACAAGCATAAACAGTTACCCTGTCAACCTGTTTCGAATGATTTTTACGCTCAGTACGAGCTCTCCCATGGTGGCAAAGGCTCTTGAAACAAAGCTTTCATCCATATATGGCTCCAGCTATAAAAGCAAAAAAAAAAAAAGTTAGACCAAGGCATCTACAAAAAGGAGAATATATGTGTCAATGTCACCCTAAGCAGTTAAAACATTATTGAGAAGTATTTTACCCTTACACTTCAAAAAGAAGACTCATTTAAGAGGGTCGATGCCACTCAAAACCAGCAGGCATGCATGAACCAGGCTCAACAGTCTGCAAAGTGGAACCCAAGAGACAGCATGAATTTCAGAGAACAGGGAGCTTTCACAGAAGGACAAAAGCCACTCAGAAACATACAGCAACAAACTGAGCGTTCACTACACGGAGCAGGGGATAAGGAGATGGCAGGCTCCTTCTCTGTACGCAAACGGAGGTTGGGCCAGCGCTATCGGTACACAGGCACGGCACAGCCCGGGGTGCTATGACGAACGGGCGGCATGCGTCAGGTAACAGAGCCCCCATCGAGCTGGGGTAGGGGTTTGCAGAGCCGTGTCTACCTCGCGTAACCGTGGAGATACGTAGGGCAGCACTTGGAGGGGAGACCTCTAATCGCGTCCCGCAGTAGGTCTGTGCTTTGTACTGCATGTGGGTGCACTGACCGTGTTTATGTCATAGGTGAGAGGGTGGCGCTGTGCATGTCAGAGTGTGCGTGACGTGCAGGGCAGTGGTTCTGTGTGGGTGAACACGCTGGAGGGCAGGTGTCTGTATGGTGTAAGTGACTGAAAAGCATGAAATGACGCTGCAATTTGGACCAAATATGTGAAGGTCTGTGCTTTGTACTGCATGTGGGTGCACTGACCGTGTTTATGTCATAGGTGAGAGGGTGGCGCTGTGCATGTCAGAGTGTGCGTGACGTGCAGGGCAGTGGTTCTGTGTGGGTGAACACGCTGGAGGGCAGGTGTCTGTATGGTGTAAGTGACTGAAAAGCATGAAATGACGCTGCAATTTGGACCAAATATATGGTGAAGGTACTGAGGGAAAAGGATGCCTGTCTAATACAAAGTGGAGGAGGGAACTAACTGAAATTCAGGTTTTGTGCAATACACATACTGATGGGGAGCACTGCATGTGACAGCTAACATGAGGCTGGGGTGTTGGGGAAACGTATCTAGCTCCATATATATAAGTATATATACCTGTGTGAGTAAGACAGATGGCCTTGTGGTAACTGACAGCCCTCGAGTGTGTTCGTGTGTCTGTCAGGTACCAGGTGGCTCCGTCACTTGTGTGCGTGACAGAAGGTGCAGCCTTGTGCAGTATCTGACAGTGGGTAACCACATTGCACTCGCATGTGCAAAAGGTGGCAGATGCCCTGCGGAGGTGTGAGCGTAAAGCAGAAATGACTCTGTTACATGTGCCAAAAGCAGGAGGCAGCACTGCTCTGTACAGACATGCCATGCAGAGAGTGATCCGGTGGTGTGTGTGTACAGGAAAGCCAGACTCATAAAGGCAACAGGTGACTGCTGCTTGGATATGCACGTGTGTGTTTCAAAGAGCAGCGGCCTGCTTGTGAGAGAGGCGACTGAAAAAGGAGATGGCCTTATAGTGGAGAGGTGGTAGATAACCCTTTGTACGGGTAAAGAGAAAAGGGACTCTACAGAGTGAGTTTGCACGAGTGGCAGGCAGTGAAAGACTCACTGATGTGTCAGCATACGTGTGCAATGCAATGGCAACCTTGGTGTAAGTGTGTGTATAAGAGAGAAGCAGCCAGTGGGATCCTCAGTGATGTGCTGGGTTGTGTGTACACACACCTGAGAGAGGCTGAGGAAGACTACAGGGTGCACGCGTGTGTGCAAGCAGGACTACGCAATATGCTGGTGTGAGCCTGTAAGAAAGAGGCTGGAGAAAGATGCGCGTGCAAGTAACAGGCAACATGGAAATTGTGATACACTGGTGTAACTGCATTTGCATGTCTGTACGTATATGCAGGTGTATACAAGCATGTGGCAGGCAGCAAGGACGCTACGATACAGCGGTGTGATTGCATACGTGACTGTGTAAAAGTGGCAAACAGTGGAGACACTACAATACAACATAAGCACATACATATAGGTGTGTGTGGGTTGCAAAGCACTACAACACGCTGGGTGTGAGTATGCATACGCGAGCGTGTATGAAAGTGTCTGTGTACAGTGGCAAGCGGTGAGGGACACAGGTGCACGAGTATGAGGGTGTACGCAGTGTGTGTGAAGGGCAGACAACAAGGGACACTGTGGGGTGTGTATCACTAGGTGAGTGTGCCCATGGCGTGCATGTGAGCAGGCAGCGAGAGACACCCCAGCGTGATGAAGCATCTGTGAGTGTGCTGCCAGGTGCACATGCAGGCAGACATGAGGGAAATACTGGTGTGGGTAAGTGCTTATGAGTGTGTGCGCATGTAGGAGAGTGCGAATCCTTATAAGTGTGTGAGCGCACCCACAGGTGTGCACACGCGTGGGGCAGGCAGTAAGGGATGCTCTTGGATAGGTCCATACGAGCATGTGAGTGCAAGCAAGTGTAAGTGCCTACAAGCGTGAGCACAAGTGTGTGAGCCTAGCAGCACAAGCGTGAGTGAGTGTGTAAGTGCCTTAGAGTGTATGACCATGAGCATGTAAGCGCCTACAAGCACGTGAGCATATAAACCAGCATATAAACCCTAGAAGCATATGAGCGTACAGGCTTGTGAGTGTGTAAGTGCCTAATAGAGCATGAGCACGAAAGCGTGAGAACACAACAGTGCCCACGAGCGTGCCTGCCCACCAGCGTGAGCGCAGGCAGCATGGGACACTGGTGTAAGTGCCACAAGCGCGCCTGTGACCCTGGCTGCGGGCAGGCAACGAGAGTCACTCGGGACAGGTGTGTGTGCGTGTGTCTAACTGTGTCTGTGAGCCTGTAACTGTCCACGAACGTGCCTGCTGGGCTGGGGTTAGCGTCTCTGAGCGCGTGTTTGTGTGCCAGCATGTGTAAGTGTGCGTGTCATCCTGTACGAGTGTGCATGTCAGCCTGCGTGAGCCTGCCAGCGTGCACAGGAGCGTGTGTGTGCATGAGAGTGTCAGTCAGCTCGGGAGTTCATGCGTGTGTCAGAGTGTGTGAGGGTCCGTGAGGCTGTGTTAGTGCGTGAGGGTGTCAGTCAGTGTGAGGGTGTCAGTCAGTGTGAGGGTGTCAGGGTGTGTGTCAGTCAGCGTGAGGGTGTCAGTCAGCGTGAGGGTGTCAGTCAGCGTGAGGGTGTCAGTCAGCGTGAGGGTGTCAGTCAGCGTGAGGGTGTCAGTCAGCGTGAGGGTGTCAGTCAGCGTGAGGGTGTCAGTCAG